TGAACACATGCTGGACTGCTTTGGTTCTGACTCGAAGGCAGTGAACAGAGCTTGTGAACACCGGAGTCATTCCAGCTAGATCTAGACTAAAACTGCTCTGTTCTGTTTCTGTTCTCTCCTAGCAGAGCTGTGGCCTGGAGAGCAGGTGCGCCTGATACAGGCCATGCTCTTTGCAATCATTTGCTATGCATCAGAGAACTGGACAATGACTAGGGAGGACAGAAGGAGAATTGATGCCTTTGAGCTGTGGTGCTGGACAAGAGTATTGAGTGTACCATGGACTGCCAAGAAAACAAACAGATTCATCCTAGAGAGGGTTAAACTAGGCTGCTCCTTAGAGGCAAGGATTCTGAAGCTTCGTCTCACACACTTTGGACATGTTGCAAGAAGGGACCAGTCCTTGGAGAGGGACATCATGCTTGGGAGGGCAGAGAGACAGTGCAGGAGAGGAAGACCCTCTATGAGGTGGATTGACCCAGTGACTTGGGGTAATGGGGGCGGGTGTGTCAGAGACAGTGAGATTGGCACTGGATAGAGCAGGGTTTAGGGCTGTTGTATATAGGGTCGCTAGAAGTCTCAGGTGACTCAGTGGCACATAACAACAACAACAATTCTCCCATTTGGTGTGGATCTAAAAGGGAAAGCTGAGAAGGAAGAGGCAGGGCTTCCCGAACCTCGTGAATTCCAGAATTACATGTGGAGAATGGCAAACGCATCCCTGGCTACCTCACAGGCCCCACGGTGCCACTGATGACCAGCACATGACCATTAACTTGAAGGTGGACAGTTCAAAACCCACCCAGCAGCACAGCAGAAGAAAGTCCTGGAAACCTGCCTCCTTTCAAAAGACAAACAACCCACACTCAGTGCTTTTGGGTCTACCCCACCTCACAGTGATCCTTAAGACCTAGGCCAGTCACCCCACGGGATTTCCAAGGTTGCAGACTTTACAGAAGCAAAGCTCGGCATGGTCCTATCATAAAGCAGCTGCTGGATTGGAACTGCTGAACTTTCAGCTGGGAGTCAATCTCTTTAACCACTGCACCATCAGGTGACAGAGAAATTTAAAAATCCATGAAGCCGCCCTGCGCTGTAACACTAGGTCGGCCGTATGCAATGTGATGAGGGCTTCGGTGGGAGCTTCTAGCCATGGTTTGATAATGCACATAATGATAGTCTGAGAATATGCAAACTGAGCGGCGTGTGGGAGGGAGCTGGTCCACTTACTATGCAAACTGCGCATCTGTGCTTGACCCAGGGGAGAGGAGTGTCCACAGGGAGTCGAGCTAGCCCCCCTCTTTGGCGGGTCAAATCTGCTGGTTGCTCCACTGGGGAAAAGCTGAACCACCTGCATTCACAGCCTCTGAAAACCCCTGGATGGTCAGCCACGTGTCAGTTCTGACTTCAAGACAATGAGTCAAGGGGATTGGTGAGGACTTGTCCTGGTGGGAAAACCATGCCCTCCAGTCGACCAAGAGCAGGCTCATGGACTGAACCCTGTGGGGGACAGGGGGGATGAAACATGGAACTGCTAAGCAAAAGGTCAGTAGTTCAAAGCCCTAGCTGCTCCCTGAAGAAAGATGCAGCCGTCTGCTCCCATGAAGATTTATAATCTGAAACTCCAGGAGGGGTCGCTACCAATAAAAACCCCTCAGTGAGTCAGGCAGTGAAGTCGGAGTTAAGCCCTGGGCTGCTAAGGAAAAGAACAGTGATTTGAATCCACCAGCTGCTCTGTGGGAGATAAAGAGAAGACAGTCTGCTGGCATTGGACTCACGGGCTTGGAAACCCGGGGGTCAGTCCAGCTGTGTCCTGTCAGGGCCTCCGTGGAGGGGGGACTGACTCGACAGTGGTGGGTTTGGTTCAGGTTGAGTTTATATCAGGTCAATCCCACAGAGGTGCAGGGGACCTAGCTTCCATCAAGAAGAGCCTGGGGCAGGTGTGTCTTTCAGACCTCGGGTCATTGTGCAGAAAAGCCCGAGACCCCAAGGAGAGCTGTGACCCAGAAGCCGACCAGGAAAGCTGGAGAGAAGAGCTCCAGTGGGCAGCAGGTGTGTCAGTCAGTGAGCTGAAGGCCGGGGCTGCTTGCCTTCACCTAGGCGGCAGCCCTGGAGTGCGAGGGAGAGAGGCTCACAGGTCCAGGGGGGAAGCCAGGACTGGCAGCAGAGGCTGGGGGGCCCCTGACGGTAGGGGAGCTGAGACCCTGTTCAGGGATTCCCACCCACGAGGTGAAACCCAGCAAGGCCAAGCAGAGCAGGAGACTCGTGTGACCACAGCAGTGTGGGGACACACAGAGGCAACAGAGACATGAATACAGCATTGAACCCAAACCACAACTCACCTGTTCCCGGACATAAGAAAGGACAGGGGATTGGGGAAGGGCAGGCAGCTCTGCTTTGGGGCCCTACCCTTCCTGTTTGCTTTCTGTAATGAGAACAATGATTTCATAAAATACTGTATAACATGGAAAAGATTACCGAGTATTTCACTGAGTGAAATGACTCAGCCCCGCAAGGACAAATACTGCATAAGAACACTACTGTGACTATGTTGTTGCTGATCGCCGTCGAGTCGAGCATGACTCATAGTGACCCTATGAACAGAAGGTCTGAAGCCTTTCTATAACAAGTTCATAGAGTTTCCAGAGGCATGTTGTTTAGGACATGAATGTCATATGAATATAGGACAGCTAGTTACATTAGGACCTGGTGGGCAGGCCTTTGAATTTAAGTCTATTGGGTCCTTGGTGTTGCTGTTCCATAGTCTTGTCAAATGCCATAACGGTTACCCATTGTGTATAGTGTTTGGATGAGCTTCCAGATTGATTTATGGTGGGAAGCAGAGGTGGCATCCACTTCCTAAAACTAGAAGCCTCTGGAAACTCTACAAACTCTCTAAACTCTTTAAATGTACAGAAATGATGGTAGTTCTAGAACAGAGTTCTGTACAGAAATGATGTTAGTCATAGAGCAGAGCTTAGGTCTTTTGTGCAAAACTTAGTCATATTCGACGTGACGACACTTCCCCACTGCTAAATGTGACTAGTGCTGTTATATCTGGAGGAACACTCTTCCACTGTGTACATCACTCTTTGTCAATGTGCAGTATGAAGTAACCTGGGCTGCTATGATGTTGAACCTTGTGCCATTGGGGTATTAAATACCAGAATAGCTTCCCAATGAGGACAGTGTTTGGTGGAGCTTCCAGTTGTAAAACAGGTTTGGAAGCAGGAAAGGCATCCACTTCCTAAACCACATGCCTCTGGAAACTCTATGAACTTGGTGAAATGACAAAAGTTATGGAAAAGTATTAGGCCTTTTGTTCTTGCGCTCAACTCAACGGCAAACATCAACAATAATAACATTGGGTCCTTGTGCCTGCAGCCCTCAGGCCTGGTGTTATTTGTATTTGGGGAGAGTATTGTTCTAAGTGGTACAGTGCTTGTCAGTCACTTTGCTGTACTGAGATAACTTGGGGTTGCTGTGATACTGAAAGCTGTGCCACTGGGGTGTCAAATGCCTAAGTGTTATCCATGGTGGACAGACTTTGGTGGAGCTCCCAGATTGAGGCAGACAGAGAAGCAGAATTGGCATCCACTTCTTAAGTAACAGGTCTTTGAAAGCCCTGTGAACACTAGAGGAATGAGGATAGTTATAGAATAGGGTTCAGATCTTTTGTTCATAGGGTCATTATGAGTTATACTCAACTACCGCACCTAACAACAACAACAACAGCAAACTGCATTTGGTGAATTGGCTGTCAGGCACCTCTTCAGGACTAAGATGCATCTGACCCAGGTCATGGTCTTTGCAATTACTATGCATCTGAGAGCTGGACAATGTCTGAAGATGATAGAAAAGGAACCAATGCCTTTGAGTTGTGGTGCTGGAGAAGAGTATTAAGAATACCATCAGTTAAAATCAACTTAATGGAAGTGAGTTTGGGGGGTGGGAGTTTTTTCAATTCTACAGCAGTAGGGCATGGCCTTTTGGGATACAGCTCAGAACTGGGCACCCACATTTTGGGGGAAGGTTTAGGGACACATGGGTTCCTGGGTCGTGGCCATGGCTGGGAAGCTGTCTGAACATTCAGTTTCTATCTGCAGTTCTCGGTCCCCAGACAGAAACGACACAGCCAGAAGCCATCTCTCTGGTTTATTTTTGTTTTCTAGAGTCTTTAGCATGCTACATGAACCTGACAAAGCTTAATCTCGTGTTCATTTCACAATACACCGCATGCAGGTCACAGCTCTGATTGGTTTACATCCACGTCACACACGTTGTGATTCAGCCATGTGGGAAGGACAGTCGTTAATGGGGGTGGTCGTGGAAGCTGCCGGAGCTCCGGGAAGCAGCCGTCTGTCCATGCCAGGCCAGCCTCTCCAAGGTGCGGAGGCGTTTCAGCGTGAGGACAGGGGCGCCCTGTGGCCGAGGGACCTTTTCTGGCACAATCAACACTTACAGAAAGAGATTCAAGTCCACTAGTGACCAGCCTGGGGCCTTTCCAGGTTTCCATCCTCAGCTCTGTCAGCCGTGAGCCCGGCTTTCCGGGGTGCGGGCCCGGCCTTCCGGGGTGCGGGCCTGGCCTTCTGGGGTGCGGGCCCGGCTTTCCGGGGTGCGGGCCCGGCTTTCCGGGGTGCGGGCCCGGCCTTCCGGGGTGTGGGCCCGGCTTTCTGGGGTGTGAGCCCGGCTTTCTGGGGTGTGAGCCCGGCTTTCTGGGGTGCGGGCCCGGCTTTCCGGGGTGTGGGCCCAGCCTTCCAGGATGGATCACAGCCCAAGTCTCTCGAACACACTCAGCATGGGAGCCACAAGGTGGGCTGTCTGGTGTTCTCCAGGGAATTGCACGAAATTAAATAAGTTATGGTCAGTGGTTTGGTTTTATTCTTGCTAAAGGATAGACTCAAGCATGGTCACTTTGTCAGGGGGTTAGACAGAGGGTGTGGGCTCTCCGCAGGAACCCCAGCCAGAGAGTCCCAGGCCGGCCTGTCCCCACAGTCACCACGTTAGGACGAGGTGTTGAGTATCCGGGAATCTGCCGAGTCAGAGCGCTCCTCATACTCCTCCTCGGCATACAGGGCCTGCTTGGAGACGATCGGACAGCCGTCCTCGGGCATGGAGATGCGGGGGTCTTCAGAGGCGCGGCTGGGGAGGACGGGGGAGCTGCGGAAGACGCCAGGGCTGGTGGAGAAGGGGCTGCCGTACTGGGGCCGCAGCTGGTATTGCTGCTGCAGGGCCATGGTGTTCCACAGGGTGACGTCGTTGGGCAAGAAGGGGCTGGACTGGTTCCGAGCCAGCGTGTCTCTCAGCATCAGCGGGTAGCGGGGCGGCTGGAGGAAGGGACGCTGCAGAGGCACGGCCAGCGGGCTGGCCACCATGTTGCCGGAGTCGGCAGAGAAGCGCAGTGTGTCGGGGACCCTGAAGGCTGAGCCCACCGACCACTTGGAGGAGGACAGGGGGTAGGAGCTGAGTGTGTGTTCGAACAGGTGCCCGTTGGAGGGCAGGACCAGGCTCTCGGGCTCGGCGGCAGTCCGCTCGGCCCCGGCCACAGAGGAGCGGCTGGACAGCAGGACCTCGACGGCGCTGACCAGGTCCCCGCCGCAGCCCTTCAGGATCAGCTCGAGGACCGTGGGCTTCTGGTTGGGGAAGATCTTCTTCAACACTTCCAGTGGGGGTCTGTTGGCTTTTAAGCTGAAGGGCAGGGACACGGTCCCCGAGGGGCCCTCAATCAGGAGGTGGTTCTGTTCCGCGTGGTACTTGGGAGTGTCGGGGCGGCTCTCAGAGGACCCCCCATTCTTCTGGATGGCATACCCGCCTTCGTCCACGGACACGATCTCGGGGCTCTCGGGGGCCAGGCATCCCTTACTCTTGGTCACGTCAGGGGAGCTGCGCTGGTCAGTGTCTTTGTCACTGAAGGCCTCAGAGCCGTCGGCCGTGCTGCCCTCGGTCAGGTGCTCTTCAGGCAGATCTGAAAAGCAGAGGAGAATGAGGTTAATCCTTCCCTGGTGGGTGAGAGAAGGTGAGTGCCAGACCCCCCCTGTGCAGGGATCCACGTGTACAAACCCAACATGCACACTTCTGAGTGTGCACAGGAGACAGAAATACCAGGGCTATAGGATGGCAACCTTAAAGAAAATTCCAAACTACGTAATTACACTCTGGCCAAAATCGTGAACAGAACATAAAGCGATCTGGACATCATTTTTTTTCACATACACAATCCTTCTGTCACCTCAGAACCACAGAAGAGGGGGCTCCAGTAACAACATCAGGCCCACAGCCCCCCGTTAACCCCCCCATGTCGACTACTAGGTGCTTCGGAGTTGGAAGCTCGGTTACCAGCAGCATTTCAAACACCCGTGGGGTCACCCCTGCTGGACAGGGGGCAGCAGGACCCACAGACTATCATGGTGTGAGATGTGTCCCCAAATACATGTGTGGATCCCACATCACCAGATAGACCAAGTGGTTGCAGGAAGATGCCTCCTGACCCAAAGGGAAGCCAGAGGTTCCCTGGGGTATGGTCTGGAACTTCGTGACCCCAGGGAGGGCCAGGACACAGGGACATCAACATCACCGGCCTCCCGATGCTGAAGGAGACAAGATCCTTCCTCCAGAACCAGGAGAGGCGGCCGTCCCCTCTCACCTGGATTTAGACTGTTCTCCTCCTGAACTGTAAGAGAATACATTTCTGCTGGTTAAAGTCATTTGCTATAGTAGCTGTGTTACAGCAACACCAGAGAACACAGATGAAGACTAGGAAGAAAAGTTTGGCAACCTAAGTACACAAATTGGCCCATGAAAATCTTATGGGCCACAAGAGAATAAGGTCCAATATCGAGCTGAAAGATAAGCCGCTGGGCTGGAAGCATTCAAAACACACAGCCTCACACGTCCGCAACAGTGGAGATGGCACAGCAGCGGACGTGGTCACTGAGCGAGAGCTGACCTGAAGGCAGGGCCCAAAAACTGCAGTCTGAAGTGGGGAGCTCTGTGCCTTCCGTGCACGCAGCCCAAGCACTCCTCAGAACAAGGGCAGTGCGACTGGTCTCATGAACTCTGGGGGTATTACCAGGAGAGGCCAGTCCCTGAAGGACATCATGCTTGGAGAGCAGGGGGTCAGAGGGTCAGCAAAAGAGAGGAAAACCCTCAGCAAGAAGAAGTAACGCAGGGGCTGCAGGAATGGGGCCGAGTGCGGCAGGACCGGGAGGACGGCGCAAGTCGGGCAGGGTTCAGTCCACCATACCCGGGGTCACTGAGGCAGTGGACCCGAAGCAGCTGACCCTGCACCTTCTGAAGGAGTTCAGTTCAGCACGGTCAGCCTCGCGACTCCACGGGAAGCCACAAGGGAGCCGAAGGAGAAGGATCTCCTCCCATAAAGCTCTGCAGCCTCAGACACCTGATGGAGGCACGTCTGTTCCAAAACCCACTAGATCCGGACGAGCACAGGGTCTCGGGACCAGGCCTGTGGTCCAGCTGCTCTTACAAAGCTGAGGCACCCGGGCATCATCCAGATACACGCTCAGATGTCACCCAACCCCCGGACATTCTCATGCATCCACTTCCCACAGCTGGTTCTGAGTAAAACACATCTCCTGGGCTTATTGTTGTTTTGTGCCATTAAGTTGATTCCAGCTTGAAGTGACGCCACATGAGACAGAGTGGCATTTCCACGGCCCCAGTCGTTACACATCTTTCTCTAAGGGACCCTGCAGGGCATCTGAACCACCAACCTTTGTGTTAGCAGACAAGCACATAGCCCCTGCCCCGTAGGGCTCCTCTCTCCTAATATAGTTCATCTGGTTGTCACCCCAAATCCACTGGCATCAAGTCAATTCCAACCCAGGGCAGCCCTGTGTGTGCAGAGAATGGCTCCAGAGGTGGTCACGGCTGCAATCATTGGCAAAGTAGGAAGCCAGGCCTCCCATGCCAGCCTTTCACCATAGAGCGTGAAAACTCTGCTGGCGCAGTGTGTGACGTATGGGCTAGTCAGAACCCAGCAGCAGCTCTGAGGAGAAGAGATGGGCAGTCCTCTCCTATAAAGATTTACTGCCTCTGTGCAACCTTCATTCTGGACGCTTGGCATAACCATGATGTTGTTGTTGTTATGTGCCGTCGAGTCGCCTGATACCAAACCATATATCACTTTTAAACTGTTCTCTCCCTCATCTGTTTCAATTCAGTATACATAATTTATCCAATTTTTCTCAGTCTTATCCCAAACCTGATGTCAGTTCTATTCTACAACAGTGGCACTATGCAGTATTTGTCCTTTTGTGACTGAGATATTTCACTCAGAATAATGTCCTCCATAGATGCTGCCCTGGACATGCTCACCAAGTTGTGCCAAGAAATCTGGAGAACAACCACTTGGCCAACTGACTGCAAGAATCTATATTTGTTCCTATCCCAAAGAAAGGTGACCCAACAGAATGTGGAAACTACAGAACAATCTCACTGATTTCACATGCAAGCAAGAT